CACGAGCTTTGATAAGTTTGTCTTTTCAAGCGTCACGACCTACATCCTCGAGGTTATGGATGTAGGAGTTCCACGCTTGAAGCAGTGAGGGACCATCACGTTTGTGATTCCCACTGTACCATCGATGTTTGAAGAAAGCATCGATGAAGAACTCATGTTCAGCGCGATAGTCTTTCGCACTGGGGTCAAGGTGATGGATCCTTGACGAATCGAACAATCGTGTTCGATAACGATCACTCGTCGTCGCCGACAAGTGATCCATGACGGATTTTGGAGGCATCCATGCCTTCTTTTCAGGAGCGAGACGCAACACGTTGCAGTCCTGCTCTTCCTGCGACGTGCCGACAGAAGTACTGGTACCTCGCTGCGAAGTGGTGTCAATAGGAGAACCGACACCACTGTTAGCGCCCGAGTCTCGCGACCTCGAGCGCCTTCGCTTCGGCGATGGTTCATCTGATTCATCTGATTCATCAGATGAACCAAAGATGCTACGACGCATAGCATCATCCATGCCACGCTTGGCAGGCGGCTTGGTTTCGATCGCCGTCGATACGGATCCGTCTTCCGTATCAGGAGAGTATGAGACACCGAGCTCATACTCCGTGAAGACATGAGTGTCGTCATGATGAGCGCCTGCATCACCAGGTGACGCAGGCTGAGTCGCTTTAGCAACCGTTAAAACATCTGTTGCTGCGGTTTCTGCTTCGGCGTCCGCACAGAGACGTGCGGACGCGCTCTCGGCGGCCTTGCTCGCGCATCGCATGGGCTTGTTAACCATGCGATGAATTGTTGGAAAGTGGACTCGAACCAACAAGTGCAAACCCTGTCCCAAATGATTTGGGACGAGTATCCATTTAGTCAATCAGTCACTAAAATGACTGATGGTTAAGGGGGGGTGATGTAACGGGGTGGATCGTTACATAACAATTTATAAGAAATTGTTAATAGAATATAACTATAAGAGTTATATTCTCAGAATATTGTCATAAGGACAAATATTCTGCCGCACTTACGAGTAGTTCCTAATTGGTTGATATAGGCCATTATATCAACCAACGAAGATGCGCCACGACAGACGCACGCAATGAGTGGTGAGCAGATAGTTAATTTACACATTTGTATTTAGACATAGTTAGATGAAGATAAATAGTGATTTATTGCAGACAGTAACTATACAAAATACAGTTCTACTTTTCACTTTAACCAAGTACTCGCTTCTTCTTACCGTCTTCCTCTGCACGTACGAGTGTACGTGAAGTTAAGAAGCACCGCCTTATTCTGTCATCAGAATAAGTAGCTTGTACTGTCACCAGTACAAGCTTAAGGGTGCCCCGTTACACAAGTCATTTTGATTCTCAAGAATAGGCCAGCTCACTATAGCTTTGACCTTAGCAAGACCTTCTTTAAGGCCGCGATCACCAATGGAAAGCCAAGAAAAGGAATCTTCTCTGCACCAAAAATTCATCCAGACGCGTTGGAGTACAATTCCTCGGTGCGCATGCACTTGAGCACGGCTCACAAATGACTGGTGCGATTTGCAACATCTGGCCTACCTTATTCGGTGCGACTTTAGACAAAAATGCCATCAAGGACGTCAATGCGTAATCGCTGTGTGGGTGAAACAATTGCTTCACCAGACGATTTAATGTTACCGGATCATTAGACATCCCTTGGGTCATCACCAGCCATTCCCACAGCATACCACTCGAAGTGCTCACTACTGTAAGCGGAAGATTACTCGCTAGCATGAGCAACTAATGATATCGATCGACCAAGTCGAGAGCACTATACATAGTACAACCAACCATGATATTTTGAAGAAATTTCCTATCGAGGAATGGGCTTATATGTCGGTTTAGTTGCCGCATTACGCTTGTTATGAGCATGCACAATACGCCACTTGCCGTTCGATTTTGTGACACAAAATGTCTGTGTCGAATGTGGAGTTTTACTCTCACGTACCACTTCTGACTCGTGCTTGGCACGGAAGAAGCCATCAATGACATCTCATTGCTTTTAAGTAAGGGCCATGTCGTGTGACACAGTGTTTAGCTACAGGAACTAAGTCAATTTCGTGACGGAGCCTCTATTTGTAGTTAGAACCGAGGGTGTGTCGTGGCACAACACATTTAAAAACTACTTGACTAAGTAGTAAAAGGGACATGAGGGTCTTTTAATTTTGATGAACCACTACGCGCACTGAGTGATGTTATTGTTTCTTCCAAAGCGGCTTCATTTTATAAGTGAAGAAGAGTTCAACTCTGTGATGTCGGGTCGAATAACCATAAAGTCTGAAAGCTCTCCATTCTTTAGTGGTTGATCAAACTCATCGACCGACAGCTCTTTGGATTTCAAAAGCGAAATTAATGAGGGTATAGCCTCAAGGCCAATTGTACCATCACAGACACTATTTACTCCGTTGAAGAGTGTACATAGATGACATTTATCGTCACCTTGTGACAAAGTACGCGATCTGTGTTTCGTATCTTTCTGATCGATACCATCATCAATCAAAATTCTCTTTAAACTAGATCTGATTACACTTTTTACACCCGATGACGAGTCATTGGAAATGAAGTCGTCATCACGTGAATTACGTACCACTTCACGTGAATCCGTTGATCCGGGCTCGGGATGCACTAGTATTTTACCAACAATGTAAATATTGACATTCAGCGCGTCGCTATCACAGCCAAAGTCACTCTGTGGGTACTTACGAGCCACTCTACGCTCATCTGATGGGGTTCAACCCTCGATGACTTGACGCTTGATAAACAATGCATTCAGCAATTAGTACGTTGCTCTTACAACGACTATCCAATATCGGAGCACGTGCCGCTTTACTATCACATATCGAGCTTTGATCAATACTCATCCCTTAAAAACGTCAGAATTAACTAACAATGACATTCCAATGTCCAGCACACTGACAATGTCAGCCAGTGTCTCGCGCCAATAACGCTTCTGATTCATAGCAGAGGTGGATTCATGACTTTACAAAGCTCCGCAAGGGTAGTGCTCCTGGTGTTCAATGTTTCGACATCCAGTCTACACATAGCTCATGGAGCTCAAACGAAGCCACACCAAGAATGAGATCATATCTCGAGTCCAAATCGAGGACTAAACAGCTTTCGATACTATTAAAATCGAAAAACTTCACACTCAAGTTCACAGGATCTTTGGGTGCCGTGACTAAAATTCCTGTCGCCAAGCAAACGATGATGGCATCACCATTGTGCGCTTGTAGCGCCCCAACGTAACGTGAATTCCCTTTAAGAGAATAGAGTCGGACACAATTACCGGATGATCACGAGTAGATCAACATCGACCAGGATTTGTCAAAGCCCTGAAAAGTCGCATTAGCGACCAACAAAAGTTTGTCTGATATTCACGTTCCGTGTTAGAGTGCACGGAACGATTGGGGCTAATTTTGCTTGCCACTACATCCTATAGGCTCAACAAAACCTAGTTCCTCCCGAGCAGGGCAGCCCGCACATACTGGGAGTCTACGTTTTCCTGCACCGTACCAGACTTCTGGTAGCGGCGGGAGCTCGGCCTGAAGTAGCCTGGCGTGCCTAGCTTAAACGTTAATTAGGTCGCAGACGCTTTGTACTTACGCACGTGAAACACCTTCGAATATTTCAATGGTGTTTTTGTAGCTTAAAGATCTGCTTCTTCGTCTATCTAGACGAGACTGATGTCCATAGGCTCTGGCCTATTAAATGAATTGAATGAGTCCGCCAAGTTTGGGTTGTACCCATGGGTGCTTAAATGGGCTGCATTGAGGTTGAACTAAGCATCCAACGCGAAATCCACAATAGCCTTAAAGAAGGTAGGGTACACCCTAAATACTTCCCCTTGAGTTACGCTCATGCGAAGGCCCTCCATGAAGATGGTAACCAAACAATCTCTGGTATAGAATAAAGTTGCATGGCAGCAGCTAGAGCTCTCACTTCCTGTACATAGTTTGATGGTAATTTTTTGCCTGGACGGGTAGACACGAAACGAGACACACTCGGTATGCCTGATTATGCAGAGCAAACACTCAGGACATTCACCGTTCTAGCAAAATGTATGTGGGGAAAGCTTTTTCCATACGTGAGAGCCCATTCTCTGGCTCGACCATCTAGTTTCGAGATATCCATCCTAACTCACTGTTGCTCCGACTGGAGTATAGCGGATTTCATCGCTGGAATATTCTCCCCTTCATTTCCCGTAAATGTCTTTACAGGCAAGACAAGGAAGCGAGTCCTTGGCTCTTCAATGGGTACGGGGACACACCGAATAGGTATAGTCCATGCCAAATAGTCGTGTACTTTCCTAATCAAAGTGAACTTAAACTGCAAAAAAAGCGTCAAGACGTGCACGAATCACATCAGGACCTCGTGCGACGATTGTATCCACTTGTTAGTTCCCCGACTAGCTGTAACGGGGCACCCTTAAGCTTGTACTGTCACCAGTACAAGCTACTTATTCTGATGACAGAATAAGGCGGTGCTTCTTAACTTCACGTACACTCGTACGTGCAGAGGAAGACGGTAAGAAGAAGCGAGTACTTGGTTAAAGTGAAAAGTAGAACTGTATTTTGTATAGTTACTGTCTGCAATAAATCACTATTTATCTTCATCTAACTATGTCTAAATACAAATGTGTAAATTAACTATCTGCTCACCACTCATTGCGTGCGTCTGTCGTGGCGCGTCTTCGTTGGTTGATATAATGGCCTATATCAACCAATTAGGAACTACTCGTAAGTGCGGCAGAATATTTGTCCTTATGACAATATTCTGAGAATATAACTCTTATAGTTATATTCTATTAACAATTTCTTATAAATTGTTATGTAACGATCCACCCCGTTACATCACCCCCCCTTAACCATCAGTCATTTTAGTGACTGATTGACTAAATGGATACTCGTCCCAAATCATTTGGGACAGGGTTTGCACTTGTTGGTTCGAGTCCACTTTCCAACAATTCATCGCATGGTTAACAAGCCCATGCGATGCGCGAGCAAGGCCGCCGAGAGCGCGTCCGCACGTCTCTGTGCGGACGCCGAAGCAGAAACCGCAGCAACAGATGTTTTAACGGTTGCTAAAGCGACTCAGCCTGCGTCACCTGGTGATGCAGGCGCTCATCATGACGACACTCATGTCTTCACGGAGTATGAGCTCGGTGTCTCATACTCTCCTGATACGGAAGACGGATCCGTATCGACGGCGATCGAAACCAAGCCGCCTGCCAAGCGTGGCATGGATGATGCTATGCGTCGTAGCATCTTTGGTTCATCTGATGAATCAGATGAATCAGATGAACCATCGCCGAAGCGAAGGCGCTCGAGGTCGCGAGACTCGGGCGCTAACAGTGGTGTCGGTTCTCCTATTGACACCACTTCGCAGCGAGGTACCAGTACTTCTGTCGGCACGTCGCAGGAAGAGCAGGACTGCAACGTGTTGCGTCTCGCTCCTGAAAAGAAGGCATGGATGCCTCCAAAATCCGTCATGGATCACTTGTCGGCGACGACGAGTGATCGTTATCGAACACGATTGTTCGATTCGTCAAGGATCCATCACCTTGACCCCAGTGCGAAAGACTATCGCGCTGAAAATGAGTTCTTCATCGATGCTTTCTTCAAACATCGATGGTACAGTGGGAATCACAAACGTGATGGTCCCTCACTGCTTCAAGCGTGGAACTCCTACATCCATAACCTCGAGGATGTAGGTCGTGACGCTTGAAAAGACAAACTTATCAAAGCTCGTGATAAGTTTGAGAAAAGAACCCCGACAGGTGCACGCTACAAGCTGCATCGTCTGTCTAGGGAGAAAGGGTTACCCTGTCTCTCCTGGGGAGACTCGTGCCCAGGTTGTGTAAACAACTCTGCACGAGCACCTAAGGAGGCTTACCTCCCTAATAGCCCGTGGTGGCGCGTACGTATCTCTAGTGAGATGCACGAAGGGATTGACAACCTGAAATCCTTTACGACCGTGCCGGGAAGACTTCCTCCGGCGGACCTTCTGCGGCACAGGATGTGCCGCATCGTACTGCTCGACCAGACCCAGTACGTCAATCATCAGTTGGGAGCGGGGCTCCCAAGTATCCCAGGACGGGGGATAGCCGCGCCACCGGACGAGATAACTCGTCCGACGTCCGTTCACGTCGCGGTGGTTCAACAGCTGCTCAACCAGATAGCGCTGGCCACCACGAGAGTCCTCTAATGGAGGTGGAGGAGGAGGGAAGACGCTATCCATACAATCGTGGGGAAGCGTGTGTTCCCGAGAGCTTCTTTGATCGCGTAACGCAAGGGTTACGCGGTGATCTCGAACATGAGCGGGACAGACGTCTCCAACTGGCGGACGCTGTCTCGAAGCATCGAGCTGAGTTTGCCTTTGCTCAGCTTGAGAACGAGAGAGCTCTGACGTCTCTGCGTGACGAGCTAAGGGTAGATCGTGGGATTGTTGATCGGTCTCGGGATGAGATAACTGCTCTTCAGACCCTTGTCGATGCCCACTATCGGGAGAACAAGGCTCTCTGCGAGATGCTTGAGCGCAAGGCGTTCTTCATCGGAAGAAGCAGCGTACTGATGGTACGGCTTAAGCCGACCAACGTAAAACGTGGGATGCGTTCGCATCTTACGTGGTAATTCGATCGTGTATGCATTGCCTAGGCGGTGCAATACACGAAATGGGCCGATGTACTTGGGTAGAAGTTTTCTACTACCCAAGTTAGTCACTACATGCTTTGGAAGATTAACCGTAGACAGTAGGACTAAGTCACCTTTATTAAATAAAAGAGTGTTTGCCCTTCCATTCTTGTCTGCGTTTTGCTTTTGCTTATCCACCGCTTCGGCGATGGAGTCTTGCACAAAACGGACTACCGTTTCACGAGCCAGTATGAACTCATCTGCTGGCTCGTTAGCTTCAGTGCGCTGTGAGTGCACTGCAGCGACAACAATCTTTTCTTCAGTGAGGGCTTCCGCACTCTCACTGGAATCATCTTCTTCGATATCGATGTTATCGATATCGGCATCAAACGCAATGGCCTCTTCGTCAGCCGTGATGAGCGTGAACCAAATCGGTTTTTGCTCGCGCGAGTCCCCCCCCTTAAACCAGAGTTACACTCTAGTAAGGTGGGTACACGCGGATGGCGTAAGCCATTCACAAAAAACGGTGTATGTGTCGTGGACGCATGCACCGAGTTGTTAATGGCAAACTCCACCATTGGTAAGAACTCACTCCAACTCTTAAAGGAGTGTACGTATCCTCGAAGTATCTCTTCTAGGACACGATTGGCTCGTTCCGTCTGACCATCTGACTCTGGATGATCAGATGTAGACATCTTCAAGCGCGTTCCGAGTGATTTGAACACGGAACGCCAGAAATCAGCTGTGAATCGTGGATCTCTGTCTGATACGAGTTCACGGGGCAACCCATGAAGTCGGAAAATAGTGTTGATAAAGACACAAGCACAGCCACTTGCTGTGATTGACTCTGGTACAGCCACAAGGTGTACCATTTTGCTGAATCTGTCAACATATACGAGAATACCCGTATTCCCGCGAGCGTCTTTGGGTAACCCGAAGACGAAATCCATTGAGACGGATTCCCAGCACTCTGCCGGAACCGGTAGAGGCTGTAAAGGTGCACGCAGTGAAGGACTTGACTTCACTCGTTGACAGACTTCGCATGCGCGAACATACTTGCGCGCAAACTGATACTGGCGGGGCCAGTAAAAGTCTCGACTCACCGTGAGATATGTTTTCTCTCGGCCACGATGTCCTCCTATAGGAGCATCGTGATACTCGAACATGATCCGCAAACGCAGATCAGTATCATCTGGAATGACAACACGTGGGACCAGAAACGGCTGTATAATACAGTAAAACCGTTGTGAGTAGTGTATCGATCTGATGCAGATCGATACGCAGACGACAATCGTTTTAACGATTCTCGAGATGGCTGTGAGAGATGTGTCAACAGCTTCACAATCTCACCATCTTGGGCATACGCCCGCCTCACATCATCATGCAACGTTGTAGATGGGACTGAAGACGTCATAACCGCAACAGTGGCTGTCTCACTGTTGGGTTCCACGAGTGGTTCACAGTCGGGCCGATGTGAGAGTGCATCAGCGACGACATTAAGTCGTCCTGGCTTGTACTCTACCGTAAATTTGTATTCTGCAAAGAATGACAACCACCGCGCCATTCGTTGTGAAAGGTGCGGGCTGTTCACTGCCGTGCGTAATGACGCATGGTCAGTGTAAACAATGAAGGGTCTATCTCCTAATAGATAGACTCTGAACTTCGCGAGTGCATACTTCATGGCAAAGAGTTCCTTGTCATGCACTGGGTAGTTCCGCTCAGCTGGTTGCAGCTGACGCGACTGATAGCAGACGACGCGTTCAACGCCTTCAAGGTCGTACTGCATTAATGCACAGACGATTGCGAAATCGCTGGCATCACAGACCACATGAAATGTCCTGTCCTGATCGGCTATTGCTAGGAATGGGGATTGCATCAAGCTCTTCTTGATACCCTCAAAGGAGCGCTGACATTCAGCGTTCCATAACCACCTCTCGTTCTTTTTCAACAAACGAGAGAGGTGCGCAGTCATCTCGGCGTAATTGCGTGAATACTTATGCAAATACGCCGCTAGCCCAAGGAATTTTCGAAGACCTTTGACATCAACCGGCACAGGCCAGTCGGTGATCGCCTTGATCTTTTTGGGAGCAGGACGTACACCGTTCTTACCAACGATGCACCCAAGAAGTGGTATTTCGCTTGCTGCAAATATACACTTCTTGAGATTTGCATACAATTGATGCTTTCGCATGATTGTAAGAACCTGTCGGACGTGGTACATATGAACCTTAACATCCGACTTTCCATCCATAGCCCGACTATGGATGAATACGTCATCGAAATAACTCGGTGCGAATTCTCGTACCAGTCTCAACAGATGTGATACACATCTGTTGAACGTGGCAGGGTCATTACTAAGCCCTTGTGGCATTACTAGCCATTCCCAGAGCATGCCGCTAGGCGTGCTCACTGCGGTATAGGGTATATCCCGTTCTCGCATAAGGATTTGATAGAAGCCATCCATCAAATCCATGGACGAAAAGATGGTACTATTTGAAATACCATCAATGATTACGTCCTTCCTTGGTATCGGCGTCTGAGCCGGTACCGTTGCAGCATTCAACTTATTAAATGCATGCACTATCCGCCACCCTCCTGTTGCTTTTCGCACACAGAAGGTCGGAGAGCTATGTGAGGAAGTTGATTCTCTCACATGACCCGCAGCTAAACGATCGTAACGAACTTGTCGATCGCAAGTACTTGTTCACGAGGCAGTGGCCACTGCTTCATGACATAGTACTTCGAGCCTGGTTTAAGCTCGACCTCGTGTCGAGTACCTTATCCTTCGGTAATTCGCACGGAACAGTTTCAGGGAATACATCCTTGAATTCAACCAAATCTTCATAGAGAGGATTTGTCTTGAGCGATTCCCACGATTGGGAGTCATATCGCTCAACTCATGTCTTTTCATCCAGGACACTCTCGTCCATAGATGAACTACTGAGAACTCTCTCGTTCTCAGTGAACACTGTTGCTGACCTTATGTCCGTTACACACTCGTCGTCAGCGACGAGTACGCAGATCTGCTTGACTTTGCCACTACGCAGATCACGCAAGAACCTTTTATGTTCGAGCGTTGGCAACTGAGTGATCTCCGAAGTCAACTTCGGAGGCGCAATCAGATCAAGTTTATAAGCGCCTACACTTGATCCGTTATTGACTATGACATTCAATGTCTCTGTCATTTCCTGGGGATTTATTCCTTCGGCTTCCCGGGGACTTATTCCCTCGGGTTTCGGGGAGCTTATTTACGCCGTATTTGTAATATCGGGACTTATTCCCTTTACTTCCTCTAGCTGGGGTTGCGCAACCACAACGAGATCCTCTACGAAAGACTCTCCAGTCGATCTAGGATTATCGTTTCGCTTAACCTGAGCGATCGATTGTTTCTCTTCTAGATGTTCCCCGCTAGGGATACATCTTTGTTCCGGTCCACTCGACTTATTCGAGTGGTGGACCTTCGGCGCAGCCTGTGTTTCCTCACAGCCGCCGGATCTTTGCTCCGAATATTAACCGTTTGTTACACTAAGGTTTTGTGCAGTCGTACTAACGACCGTACTACAAGTGAGGCCATCGCACTCACTCGTAGTACATCCACACGCTTGTGGACGCTCCAAAACGTTCATCAGATGGCCATCTGATGAACAAGCGGCAGGCATCGTTACTGTTCGATGTTGCAACTTTACTCGTGGTTCGTACCTTCTGAGCCACTGTATTCCAAGGATGACATCAAATTTGGCATCCAAATCCAATACGATAAAGTCATCGTCATATTGGGTATCTTCTAGCGTATAGTGGATCTTCACTATACGCTTCATGACGGTTACGGATGCGCCTGTCGCAAGAAGTGCCGTCATCCTCATAGGAGGTGTTTCACATTCACTGAACTTAAAGTGACCATCTTCTAGCGATTGGCGTTGCACAAAATTGTTGGATGCCCCACAATTGACTAGAGCTCGAAGGGACAACTTATTTGTCACTTCGAGTTTCAAGGTAATGAGTGAGATCTCATTACCTAGATCAGCAACGCACAACGTTTGTGTGTTGGGAGCAACCTTCATCAAGAGACCTACAAATTCTCTTGACGTTGCTGGACCAGTAGGGTGCTCCACACCTACTGATCCTGACCGTTTTTTGACGGTCCATCCCGTTGTTGCGTCTTTGCACCAACAGCGGACCCGCGTCCCTGCCCCTCTCTCATGGGTGGACGGTCACTACGCCCAGTGTTGCGAGACACTGGACGAGGGGCACTACACTCGTAAGCCTAGTGTCCTGTCTTTTGACATCTGTTGCATTTCTGCAACTTGTTGTAGTCTGTAGAGCGAGCCTTCTCGCTCTCTACATAACAGAGTTCCATCGGCTCTGGACCTCCGTTGTCATATCGTCTCGGTTGACGATATGATGTTGAGCTGGCGCGAGCCTGTCTCAGACTGACGTCTTCCTGTTCCGCAATAGAAATGGTTTGTTCTAGTGAATCTTGTTCAAGTCGGAACAGGTGAGTCTTGACGGAACCATCCGCAAGACACTGCATGAACACCAAAACCAACGTGTGTTCATCCACCGGATTGGAACTTATACAACTCGTGAGATGTTGCATATGTTGCGCGTAAGCGTGCACATCACGCTTACCTTGTTTGAGCTTCAAGAGTTCAGTTCGAGCTCTGAACTCAGCTCTAGGCGGTTCAAACGTTTGTCTGAGCCGCGACTTGAAGACTTCTAACGACCCAAACGCATATGGGTCGTGCAACTTGAGCCCCAGTGCCCAAGTCTTGGCACGTCCTGCCAGATTTGACTGGGCAAATGCAACTTGCATATCCCCGTCGTCGATGCGACGCGCCCTTATGGCGTCATCCAATTCGACGAACCATCTCAAGAGGGAGTCCTCTTCGACTCCCCTATACTTAGAGATGTTAATCTTTAAGGTCTCGGGTCGACGCGAGTGCATCGACCCACCAGCAGCAGCCTGCTGCTGTCTCAACAGTTCAAACTGTTGAACACCCTGTTCTCTCAACAATTCTGCTTGTTGAGAAACTTATTGGCGAAGCAAGGCTACTTTCTCGCGT